ATATATTATAAAGATTTATAAATGACAATGTAAATATTGTTTTGATTATGGTGGCACTTTGACCATCATTATAATTGAATTTAATATTAATGATTGCTAGTCGCTAAACCAACTTAAAACAATTGTTTATATCTAGCACATAAGAATAAATCTCATGTTCAATTGGATAATTATAGAAAAAAAGTTATTTTTACACAATGAGTAAAGTTTTAGAATTTATGGTACCATTATAAAGTGTATAACATCATACTACTGTTATTTTGTAAATTACATACACATAAATGTTATGTACTTATTTACATTGAAGTCAAGTGATATTAATTTATCCGAAAATTCATCTTATATGTTTCTTTATAAGTATTCACTTTTTTATGAAATGCATTAGAATTTAACATACACTCAATAGGTACAAATAACAATATACAAATATATTGTGGTTACTGCCAAATATTTTCAATTTTGTATTACATAATAACTATGCTGAAATTTGTGTGCTTAAAAAATATGTTAATCTAAAGAAGAGATCAAGTGCTAAATGATTTCTATATATTTGTAATATTTTTCCATTATTTTTGTAACGAGTATAAAAATTTTTAAGTTGCAAAAATATCAGAGTTAAATATATATAATATAACTTCTTCAATTATTTTTAACATATAACTGTATAAACTTAAAAATGTTTAGCATCAAAATTATAAACCCATTTCTTACTTTTGATAATTACTATCATTTCAAAAACACAGAAGAAAAGATACTTCATCTTCTGCGCAACTTAAAAAATTAGAATGAAGTTCTGCTTAATTATGTTATCAATTTAACTGCATTTCTCAAGATTGAAACACTCATTACTTTACACCTAATTATAAGTGGGAAAATTTACATTATTCTGTTAAAAGTTTCCCACAGTTTCATATTGTATTGTAAGAAATATATTCTTCGTTTTAAAAAATATTAATTTTTATAAAGTTCTCTTCTAAATGTAATAATCACTTTTTGTACAGAAAATCCTAGAGATTAGTACTTTCTTGTTCTAATTTAAATCGCGCAGTAGGTGGAGGTGGTGGCGGTGGTTGTGGCCGTGGAGGCCTCTGATGAAATCTCGGGGAAGCCGGAACAGGTTGTTGTGGTGATTTCACAGTTATTACCGTCTCAGTCTGAGTTTGCACATCGATAATATTTCCTTCTGATCTGGTTCGCACGTGAGCTTTTGTTTGTTCCGGAGCATTCAATTTGGCTGGCTTTTCTGGTCGTTCACCGTACAAGGACATAGATGAAGGTCGACTACCTACACTGGGGCTTCTCTGTAAGTTCGAAGCCGCGTTGCCATTGTTGTTGCCCGAGGTGCAGAACACACTGCCATTTCCACGCACTTGTATTATACTGACCTGTTGTTTGTCCACTGAATATACATGAGCTCTTTCCAAAGTTAAAGGCTACAGGTTATTAAAAAGGAAAAAAATATTAATAGCTCTGAAAAATCATTGTGAGATTTAACATTTTAAATGAAATTAGTTATTAACACGTTTATTTTTCACTTCATTTATAGCTTACGTTATTGTATTTCAAAATGCAATATCCAGGCAGTGATATTTGTTGAGTCCACTGGCAGTAACTACATTTATTTTAAAGAATTATCTTACACATAATACTGAAAATGAATAAAATGCTTGAAAAGTTTAGTACTCACCCCTGCTTCAGTGTCTAAATTTTCACTACTGTGACGCGGTTGTTGTTTGATAAGACTTGAGGGACGAACTAATCCGGCTGGTCGTTCTGGTACAGCTGGTTTACTGCTTCTATCAAGTGTACTTGAACACACCGGGTTGTTACTATCCGACTTTTTACGTAACTCTACGGTTTCTTCTTTGAAATAAAAACAAATTAAACATTTGGTATTATTTCATTTAATAAAATGCTATGTACTATATTATACCTGCATTATGTACTATATTAGTTATACTTCTTGGTGCAGCTACTGGTCTTCGTCTTTCCAATGTAGAACAATGTGGTTTTTCTGTTGGTATCACTTTTAATTTATGTGTAGAAGTTTCTGAATTATCTGATTCCATAACAAACTTATTGCATGATGCATTTTCTACAGTATTTCTTTCAGAAGTAATAGGAGCATTTAACTTTTTCTCATTCTTTTGGGCTTCTTGGTTACCTCTTTCAGTTTCTGTGTTTATATTGTGTGATTCATCTTGTATTTCAGTAGTACATTCTGAAGAGTTACCTGATAGAGAATCTGTAATTGCATTTGCTTCAATGTTCTGTTGTTTAATTTCTGTTTCTGTATTTCCATCTTGTTTTTCTGTATTATTTTCGTGCTTCATGATTGATTCAGTATTTACTGTTTCATGTTTTTGAGTTTTACATGTTATGCGATTAAGAGTTGCTGATGTTAAAGGTCTGGGTGGTTTATCAGGTGCAGGTGGTGGTTTATCATCAGATTTTTTATCATGTTTGTCTGGGGTAGTACTATTTGGTGGAGTTGGTGCAGGTTTATTTTTTCTACGGGCTGCTGGTTTAGGACTACCTTGTGGTGGACTTTCACCATGATCACTAAGACTGCTATTGGAAATGCAACGACGCATACCTATATTTTGATTTTCTGAACCATTTATAATGCCGACATCTAAATCACGATCAAAGTCTATTTCACCAGGAAAAAACCAATCTGCATATGTAATCAGTTGATCAACTATAAGACTAGAGTTGTTAGCTGTGCTCATATTCATTCTGAAATTATACATATATTATATTGGAAAAAGTTGATCACATAATTTGTTTTATAATAATCACAAAATTTAGTATACATAAATAAATTATATTTCTTTATAATTATCATTCAGAAGAATAAGTTCTTACACCATTGTATTTACATCCTCTTGTGGACTCCATATTAAATTAGGTGCAATTACAATTGCAATGTTTTGAGGCGACATTTTGTTTATATCTTGATTTTTTGTGAGTACAGCTAAAAATTTAATTAGGAACCGTAAATTTTCTAAATTTGCTTGTGGTAACTTATGTAACACTTCCCAAAGGGCTCTCAATCTTATTTCATTTTGAGTTATCTTTGCAGCTGCCATCCATTCAGGATACAATCTTTAAGATAACACAAAAACAAATGTAGTATTGTATTTCCATTTTCCATTGCTATAAAAGGAAATGTCTTTCATATATTTACTTGTAAGTTAGAAGTGGCTCAGGAAGTTCTCGCAAATAAGATTTTAATGCACCAGCAATAACATGTGGGTCTTTATATTCTAGAGCAGTTGGTAATGTGAGGCAACATGCATCTAGACTTAATTTGATTCGTCGTGATTTCGATGCAGCACCAGCTATTCTAAAAAGACCCTCTTCTTCCATACCTAATCGTAGCAATGCAGACACGCATAATTGAATAGGTAATGCTATTTTTCTGTTAGTTACTCTAAGATGTTCTTCAAGGGGATAACCATAAACTGGTTTCATTTCATTATCATCTGGAACCATGAAACGAAGTTACATCAGATGAAAATTTTTGTGAGGAAAGTTCCTTTTAGTTCCTTTTATTTTCATTAGATAAGTTCCTTCTAAAAATTAATTACTCATGAAATTTCGAAAACATTAGACAATAAAATATATCAAAGATTTTTGATTATCATAAAATATATAACTACTACATATGTATAATACAAAATTGATATTAATGACAATCTAAACTGTTAAAAATATGTAAAAAATTGAAAAACA